GAGGATAAATGTATTTGAGTAGTTGCTAATTCAAGAGACTTAATAAAGAGGAACGTGTTGTCTGGCAAAGTTTGAACCTGTGTCTCCCTCCATAAGGGAAACTACTGTCTGATTCAGCATTCTTTAGACTACTCAGTCACAGAGCTGGATCAGAAGGTGGTTTCTGCCTACGAAGGGAGATATAGATTCAAGCTCTGTCGGAGAGCACGTTTTTCTTCATAAGTCTCCTGAATGCGAAAGCCGGTTGATATAGTTCACATAAATTTCATATAAATCCATTGCAAAATTTCTTTCAAGTATATTTGTCAATGAATTATAATGCATTGTATTATTAAACATTTTGTTTACTATTCTTTCATTTTATTTCTGTTACTGATTTACACATTGGGTTTCTATGGCCAGTAGCTATTATTGATCTTTCCTGTACTAAAGGGGGTTTATAGTTATACATATATCAGTATTAAGTTATTTGCATTTCTTAGATGAAGTATTGTACTTAGTAATAATAATACAATAGCCTCAAGTTGTCCAAATTTCTTAGATAAAACATTGTACTTAGTAATAATAATACAATAGCCTCAAGTTGTCCAAATTTCTTAGATAAAACCTTGTACTTAGTAATAATAATACAATAGCCTCAAGTTGTCCAAATTTCTTAGATGAAGCATTACCATTATTATTAATTTTTGTCAAGTCTTTCTTTCATCTTATTGCTATCTATTGATTATACTAAGTAATAATAAGACACAATAGTCCCAAATTTCTTAGTCAAAGGCATTGCTATTATTATTGATTTTTGATTTATTTTCTCTCTTACTTTATCATTTTCTTATTGCAATGCTCAGGTTATTTATTATCGTTCTCTCCACGATTAACGGAGGCTCCCTTCTTAACCTTTTCTTTGAAGTAATGTAGAACGTCGACATATTATGTTATTATTTTCCCTTCGAGTTATATGTGCTATCCATTTTAGTTATTGCTGCTGATGAAGGTCCTCAAGTAATGCAGTATCTGTTATTTGGTTGTGTCTCTTTGTTTGTGATTCTGTAAAACCAGACTACCAGGTGCGAAGAAGTATGGTAGCTGAATTGTAATTATGACATATCAAAATTTAAAATGTTCCTGACATTTTTGTCGCCATGAGTAAACTAGGATACACACCTAAAGTAAGGTTTATTTATTTTCACAGAAACTCTGTTTACATGGACCAAAAAACAAAGAACCCCAAAAACCAAAAAATAAATAAATAAAATAAAATAAAATAAAACCACCAGTAAATAAAGCAAGTTTCAGCTATCAAACATGATTTTTCCACATTGACACCACCATTAACGATACATTTTCTCTACAGCGATGACCAAAAGCCTACGCGTCGTGAATTGGCAACTGCTCAGAGCTGCCCGGTATTGTGACTACTATCATATATTGAATTCGACACTGTTAAATCGCATTGCCCTCCGTGCTCACATATTCTGTTTGGTCTCTGTAAACGTGCAACAAGTGTCAATTGGTGTATTTTCCCCCGATTAATTAATCCAGAGATATAGAAATTTTCATGTCGTATACCATTTACAAGAATCCTGCTCTGCTATATGCCACAAGACAAAAATTTATTTGTGGAATGGTTCAAACCCTTATTGCCATAATATCATCTTTCGTATTTTACCTCATGAAGAAAAAAGTAATAAAAATCATGGATTAGTTTTGGTTATATCCTCATACGCATACATACACGCGAGGACACACACACACACACACACACACACACACACAAGTTTTTCGCCTAACCATTTCAAATGCACGTTGATTTGGCGCAACTAGCAAATATCTATCTCAATGTTAATATATCAGTGTTCATATCTATCTATCTATCCATCTATCTATCTATCTATCTATCTATCTATCTATCTATCTATCTCAGTTTGCTCATCTCTGTCTATCTCATTCTATTCATGTCTATCTCATTCTATTCATATCTATCTGTCTATCTACTAGCAGTAGAGCCCGGCGTTGCCCGGGGATGTAACAGTAGGGGATAGATCAAGTATCGACCATCATAAAGACTGAAAAATAAAATTGACAAAGATTATTGTTTAAGGTTGACGGACACGCATGTCTTAATTAGTTTTTTTTTTTTTTACGGATTGGTCAAACCCAAACTCAAACAAAAACATTGTTTTCAGTCGTTATGAGACTACCGATTGAATAGAATTTTATTATAAACAATTGTCTTGTAAATGGAATTTTAAAAGCATTCTGAATATAAAAATAAAGAAAAAAGTATGCAAGCCAAAAATAACACTACCTGCCAAAAAAAAGTGAAGTTGAAATCGGTTGAAAAATGTAGGAAATCCGAACTAAACGAAAAAACACACACAACACACACACACACACACACACACACACACACACACACAACCTAGGTTTTATAATAAGTATAACTCGATATAAGATGTCCCCCTTTCATTCTCGCGACAAGCGATGCCTCTTAATTGTGTTT